ACAGGTCGTAGAGGATGAGGCCTTTCCTTGATGTTGCCTCCTGGCTCTGGGATTCAGCGGCTGAGTGCTTCTGAATGTGGAGGTTCCCCTCAGTCACAATGGCTGGTAGCAACTGACAGACTTATGCTACATGAATCTATCTTTTGTTGTTGTTGTTGTTCAGTCACACAGTCGAGTCCGACTCTTTGCGACCCCATGGACCAGATCTATCTAGTGCAACTGAAATATGTTTATTCCTGTAAGTTACAGTGTTCATATTTTGCCAGTATAAGAACTTTACTGACTGCTTATTTGCTTCCAGGCGCAACTCAAAGTGCTGGTCATGGCTTTTAGAAACCTAACAAGGGGGCGGGACCCGCGATATTCGCGGGGGGGGAGGGACCTCCACACAGGAGGCAGAGGAAGAAGCAGGAGGGGGAGGTAAGTTCCCCCCCATCCCGCCCGTCCCTCGTACTCCCCCCCCCCTCCCGCCGTTTCCTCCCCCGTTGCCTCACACCCCCCTGCTCGATCTCCCCCCCTTCCCTTCCCCCCCCCGGCTTCGAAGCGAGGCCCAAGCGGCAAGCTCTGTCACTTTTGGGGGGATTTAAGTATCCCCCCGATATTTTTTTCAGGTTTTTAGATCTTTGTGCACACCTGGGGACTGCCCCAAGTGTGCACAGAAATCTCCCTCCCCCCCAGGTGCCCCCGATGCGCGGATTTAGGTATCCGCACGCAGGGGGCGCCTTTCACTATTAGATATATAGATAAATAAATAACTAATATGGCAGCCATCGCTGATTCAGCAACAACAACACTAGCACTTACTGTGTTACTGCTAACTAGTTTTAGCAGTGTTTTAATTGTTTTATTACAAATATATGCTGATTTTACGTAAGCTGCCCTGAGCCAGCTTTGGCTGGGAGGGTGGGGTAGAAATCTGAGAAATAAATAAAGCATCACGTGGGATTGTGTGTGGTATAGCCAGGAGAGCCAAAGATTGTCCGTCCAGCCCTTTGGGCGTTATGCACTACTAGGTGGCAGGCTAGACTTATTTGGGGGGCTGAGAAGGCTCTGAAAGAGATGTGACTGACCCAGGGTCACCCAGCTGGCTTCGTGTAGAGGTGTGCGGAATCGAACCTAATCCTCCAGATTAGAGTCCATTGCTCTTAACCACTATGCCATGCTGGTTTTAGAGACCTAGTTGACTTCAACCAAGTAACTTTGGACCACCTACTCTGGTACAAGTCTCTCCGAAGGCACTAGAAGGCCTGACTGTCAGCTCCCCACCTCTGCAATAGAGAAACAAAACTACACTACCTACTGTTGTAGTACACAATAAGCCACCTTAAGACATCTTTTCAAAGATCAGAAAGGTGGCTTTACAAATTCTCTACATAAAAAGTCAGTGGAAGTGCTATGCAAGATGGCGCTTCTTGCCTCGGCTGCTGGGAAAATTAGAACAAATGTGGTTTCCAAGAAAGTATCTAACAGAACTGTAATTTTTGGGTTTGACTGAGAATGAGAAATTTTAAAGATGCCTGCAATTTTAGAGTGTTAAAATCTTTTGGTAGCAAATATGGTTTAACTTGTAACGGTTAATGGCCATATACAATAAAATCTTACTACTCACTATGCAACACCTTAAGAATGACTAGTACAGCATAACACACAGTTTCTCGCAGCCAATTCAGCACTTTGAATAGTGGAGCCTGATCCCTCACTGCAAAGTAGTGTTACCACCAGTGCGGGAGTACAGCCACAAAAGAGGGTTTACTGCAGGAGAGAAACACTGTACGCACTGCAAACCTTAATGAAATTCAGGAATGGACAACTCCACTCCTCCCTACTGCGCCGATCAACTTGTCCATACCACCTGCCAGTGCTGAAACCAAAAGGGCTCCAGAGGCCACTAATAACACAATATGTAGCAGTGAACATGGGAGAATATGTAGAGCTACCACAACCAACAGCTTTTCTCCACCGAATACTGCAGGCCACCAAAGACGAGGCTTTGCTTGGGAAGCACAACTTAAAACACTAGAATTGCAATCATTCCACAAAATCGGTATTCTTATCCAAGGCGCTATCATTACCACTGCAATAACAACCCTTGTCTTATTAATTCGGACCATAATACCCACTTAAACAGGAAGGTCAGATCAGGAGAAACTAGTTATATTATTGGCCGATAGGGATAAATTTCTTACTTTTCAAACAGCAAGACTGGCTGCCACTGTCATAAAGGATAAAGATAGAGTATGCTGATCAAAGTATGTCTGACCCTTAACTCCCGCACTCTGGGCCGCTTGTCACTTGTAATTTGTTATTGGACTGCATGCCGTTTCCTTTTATTAAAAGATATATACAAGTGGGGGCCTATAAAACTCATGGGGGGAGAATCCCATCTTCCCTGCCCTCCATAAGTTAAGCCCAACCAACCACCTTGAAGCCTGGTGGAGGCAGTCTTTGGGAGCTGCTCTGATTCCCAGGGACCTTCCAGTGTCCAACACCGCAAGGTCTTGAGCAGTGTTCCCTCTAAGCTGAGTCAGTGTGAGCCAGCTAACAGTTTTTTAGCCTCCACGCATTTCTGTCTTAGCTCAGGAAGGAGGGCTCCAGAGCAAACTAATTTATGCAGTAGCCAAACTCCTCGCTCACTACTTTAATGCCAGTAACTTACAAAGTAGAATTTTGGCTTAGAGGGAACACTGGTCCCGAGTGGCTCCCGGCATCCGCAGGGCCCCAAGCAGCTCCTGAACGGACGCTGCAGATCCCAGGCGCCATCACACAGGTAAGAAAAGAGCATTCTCTGTGCAAATGCAGAGAATGCTCCCTTACTTTTCAGGGGATTTAACCCCCCCCCCCCGGTGTGTGTGTGTATATATATATATTTCCTGCAAACCTGGGGAGTGCCCCAGGTGTACATAAAAATCTCTTTAGCCTCCACATGGCCCTGATCTGTGGATTTAGACATTCACAGATGGTGGCAACGGGTGGCTAATAGTATACAGATACATATATATTTTAATGATGTCTTTGTATGTTAAGACTTTCTTTTAAAATGTTCGTTTTTTAATTATTTTTCAGATTTTACCTTGTTGGGCATTTGCATTTTATTTCGTTTTGTTGTTATGGCTTTTTGGCAAATGCAATAAAGATCGATCGATCGATCTTATGAATTCTACACAGATCCACTACAAGCCCCTGGCGAAGGCAAAACAAACAGCATTTTGATAGCTATTTCAAAAGCCATTAATAATTACATCCACCCTATCTACGATCTTGATAAAAAGAGGAACTCCTGACAGAGAATTTATGAGCCAACTTCTTACAGGATAGACAGTCATGAAAGGAAGAAACCCCTTCAACATGTGTCTGAAAAATGATGATGGAGACTGCTTAGTACAAGAATTTTATGTATGGGCTTATGCCCCTGTAAGCCGCCCTGAGCCCGCTTGCGGGGTAGGGCGGGGTAGAAATACCTGAATAAATAAATAAAGAAATAAATAAAATTTAAAAAGCACTCACTTTTTTTTTTGACCAGAGAATTCTTTTAGCAGATTATCATAGATTGGGGAAGATTAAGATTAATTGTGTGAAAGGCAATACTGACAGCCGGGCAGGGGGGGTGGGGTGGGGGAATAAAGTGTTGGTTAGAGCACTTTGGACTCTGCTCCGCTATTTCACACACTGGTAGACCTTTTCCTGCACCTTATAACGGTTAACAAATGGGGATATTTTTAGCTTTACGAAATCATACCTAAAGCTTTGAACACACACAGAAGAAGGTTTAATGCTCCATATTTCATATAAAAGGAGGAGGAAATAAGCGAAGCTTCCATGACAGTAAAAGCCATTTCCTAAGCAAAGTTTAATAGACAGGCAGTCAATCATTCACCAGTATAAATTCTACTTTTTTCTCCAAACTTCCTTTTTCAGGAATCTGCTAAAAGCACACGTTAAGTTCTAATAAAACGTTAGCTTTCCTTTGAACAAACCTTGCTTTCATAGGGCAGAAGCACAAGGCAAATTATTTTAGGAGGCTCAGAAATACCCAGACTTAAAGAAACAAAATAAAATTGGAAGCAGCAATTCTTTAATCAGATTTCTATCATGCGTTTTTCTTGATCCATGCATTTGCACCATTTTATACATCTTGTAATTTGCTTTCTACATTGTTTAATGTATATCTTGTCTTGCACAGTTTGTATTGCTTTTGAATTCCGTAACCCTAATCCTATTGCATCGTTTGCTGGATGTTTTATGCTGTTTCTGTATTTTGTAATCTACCTTGAATCTTGGTGAGAAAGGCGGACTACAAATAAAATAAATAAATTTATAATTACAAACTGCCATCACGCTTTGCTTCTTCTGTTATGGTCGAAAGGTTAGTAGAAGCAACCAGCTCAGCATCTGGACTCAATAAAGAGGTGCATCATGCATTCTCAGCAACGAACAGGAAGTATATTCTCCCCCCTTCAATAACCTTCCTAAATGCTTTGTGTAAAGCTTTAAAAAATAACCGCGCCACTAAATCTAGGCATATCATACTTCATTACCTGAAGAACTGTCTTCTCAAAGAACTGACTGTCAATCTTTGTACATGTTTTTTAATTGTCAAGGTTTGTAGAGTACAGTCTCCCCCACTTTTTTATTTTAAGGCTCTTAAGAGATATGTAACACCATTGTTGTTATTTTCATAACGTTATGTTTATAGTTTTCACTGAGATCTTAAGTATCCAGAAAGTTGTAATAAGATAGTTTTGATTAGAAGTTTCTGTAAAACGTGATGTTGTAACTTAAGATTTCATCAATAAAAATTAATTTTTTATAAATAACCTCTATATTTATGCTGTAGTTTAGAAAGCGACGAAGGAAATCTCTTCAGCAAGAAGCCTTTTAACAACAATGCTAAGCAACCTTTAGCTAACTTTCCTAACAGCCGACCTGTCAGAACGGAAATGCACACAGCATACCGTCACACATAAGTTGCACGCAGTGTAAAGCTTCGTGGCCCTCCTTACCTGCTGGCAAGTATTTCAGCTGGTTATTAGCCAGTCGAAGATGGCGTAAGGACCGCAAGCGGCCAATTTCAGGGCAGACAATTTCGAGCGCATTGTCGCTCAGATCCAGGAACTGCAGTTTTACCAGAGAACCTATTGCTTCAAAAGAAAAGCAGAATAAATACAACCCAAGGCAGAGTCTTAGACTTGCACAATGTTTCACTCCTACATTTTGACAGAAATTGAAGTGTATAAAAAACCAAAGTGTCCCAACTGCACATGCTAGGGGGTTGGGGTTGGTAGGGGTTTGGGCAGATCACGAACAATATAAGGTGAAACTAGATTCCAGTGGATGGCTGTGTTGGTCTGAAGCAAGAACACAACATTTGGAGTCCAGTGGCACCTTTAAGACATGCATGCACACAAAAGCGTATACCCAGAATTAAATTTTGTTGGTCTTAATGGTGCCACTGGATTCCGAACTTTGTTCTACAAGGTGAAACTGTTCTCTTACCACAAATTTTGCTATTACTTTCCCATAGTTTTGCCTACGCTCAAATTCATCAGTCCCACATCATTTTGCTTGGAAAGGGGAAGATATTTATTCACAGAATTTATACCCCACCTTTCTGCCCGATCGGGGTCACCAAGTAAGTAACAATTAGAAGCAGAACATTATAAAACCACTAATAAAATACATACGTGAAAAACACAAACCCAGCAATTAAAAAGGGCATGAAAGAAGGATTACTGAGTAGGGTTGCCAAGCTGATCTTCGCCGGGAACGAGGGGCTCCCAGCCGGCGTCTGGTGCTCGTGCGCTGCACGCACGTCACCTGGAAGTGACAGAAGGACGCCAGGCACGCTGGGGGCGGGGGCACGGCCATACAAGGGAAAACCATAGAGTTTCCCCTTGGATGGCCGTGGCCCCGCCCTCAGCGTGCCCGGCGTGGTCGCATCACTTCTGGGTGATGTGCACGTCGGGGTGGAGTTCCCTCCGGGGTCCAATCCGGCGCCGCCGGGGAACGGGCCTCTGGGGCGGGGGTTTCCCCGCCCCCCGGGGGGACTTGGGATCCTTATTACTGAGGGAATAGCAGACAAAACAAAAACAGTCTCCATCCACTGACGGAAGACAATGACCAAGGACAGAGGACTCTACCCAGGAAAGGCGTTTCATAACTTTGGTACTATGACCAAGAAGGCTCTCTCAGGCTGCTACTTGTCACACCTCAGATGTGTGGGCACCCAAAGAAGGCCCTCAGAGCATGACCATAATAGGCTTGAATGGGAGTAGGCTGTCCTTAAGGTATGCTGGTTCCAAATCATACAGCGCTTGAAAGGTCAATGCAGCACCTTAAACTGGGCCCTCCTATGCTCTACTAATAAAAAGATCAAGGTCAGTGTTTCAAAACCCAGCTAACAGGTATAGCTGAGCCACAAGACTCAATGGAACTGTTCAAACAAGGCTGTGGTGGGTGGTCCTTTGCTGGATGACTTCAAAAAGAGGCCAGACAAGGCCAAAATCTATGTAATACCTTCTGTTGGCCTTCCGTCAGGAATGCTCTATTTCTGGATTTCTGTACCAAGAAGGGGGTTGAACTAGATGGCCTAGAAGGCCCCTTCCTATTTCAGGATGCTAACAGCACTGGCCAAATCTCAGCTTTGGCGCCCCCTTTTGTAAAAGGAGAATAGCAAAGACCTGCCTCACGAGGTTTATTATTATTTATTATTATTACAGTCATAGACCAACAATCAATACAATAGGAGGTAGATAAATAACTAATAAAAGAACAGTAAAATTATAAAATATAACAGCATCTAAAATTATGAATAGGAATCTAAAAAGTTTAAAATACAGAAATGGTAAAATTAATATTAAGATCAGAAATTAAAAATAAATCTAGGCCTATCTGTACTTCTTTATCTCTTCCCTAGTTTGGTATGCCAACCAACCAAATTTGGCAACCATTCTAGTCAGCTTTTGATTATCATCACATGCCAGCATAATTGACAAAAGTATCCTTCTATTATGACCTGGGTAGGAGTTAACAATAGGCTTAATCAAAACTTCCCTAATATGATATATACTACAATCGAAAATTACATGTTCCAATGTTTCATCAGTTCCCATCCCACATATATAAATTTTCCTCAGTGATCTAGTAAATCTGGCCTCCAATGTAGCTGAGGGTAAGACATATCTTAATAGGGTAAAAATTCTTCTATGATTACAGATATCTAAATATTTGATGTAAGGTCTCAAAATTATCTTGTTAAGTGTACTTACATCAAATACAGGGCTCCTAATCCTGCTCACACCCATCTGTCATTCAACATCTAATATTCTTTGTTTTAGAACTGATCTAGCCTGAGCATATCCCAAAGACAGGATAAACTGATTAGAAAAACCATAACAAACCAGTTTATCCTCTATCTTTTTCCGCCATAAAGGAACAAAGTTACCTTGCATCATAGTATGAGTAAGGCCAGTGGGTGAGAAAATCAGTTTTAACTAATAATGAAAAGCAGCAATCCACAATCTTGCCTACACTGTAACCAGACCAGCCTCTAAATGGATTGCAGCATTTGAAACACTCGTTGGAACTTGGAAAAACCTCTTAAAAATTATGATTGCGTTCTTCCAAGTAAGAGGTTTATTTGCGTGTGTATTTTTACTTACCATGCTGAGCTCAGAGCGAAGATAAAGCAAGTTACACCATCAAGAAAAATGGGGACAGATGTACTTGATAAATGATTAATAAAAATCATCCATTAAGTCCCAGCTGAACCCCAAGCATGGTGCCAACTGCCTCAACTCAGGCATGTTTCACTGATAAATCCCACTTTGCTTTCCAAATAGAAGGAAAGTAAGCAGTCTTTAAGTATATCAGAGCTCAGATACCAGTGCACTGCAGTGGACTTCACAGGAACCCAGCCTTAAAAGTGTTAACAACTGTAATTTCTTTCATTATTTGAAGGTAGTAAGACACTTACCTTCAGGTACAACAACAATGTTGTTTGAATGAAGATACCTGAGAAAGAGACAAGAGAACATACCACCTGTTATTTTTAAGGGACGGCTAATAAAAAAGCAGCTACCAAATTTCCACTTTGTTGTATATGTAAAACTTGGGGGGGGGGTATGAATAGCAGAGATGACTTCAAAAGTAATACTAACCCTACAAAATTATGACTAACATTGCCATGAGCTTCTGATCACACTGCACTAAACAAGTGACAAATTTCATACATCCCAAGCTTTTTTCTGGATTCCAACTTCCACTGTAGAGACATTTGTTAACAGGTTGCTCCGTATATGACCAAGAGGTAGGCAGTTTCATACATTCAGTTTGGAAAAGGTGGGGGGGGGCAGTTAGCTCATGCCAAGGATCAGCATAAGATCTTAGATTTACCACATGCCCCTCCAGCACTCAAACCGAACATGCGGCAGACAAAGCAGCCATTGGTTTCTTATTGGCCAATCAAACCACACACATGGCTGGTATTTATCTTGGGTTGCTGAGCGGCTTAATCACTGGAGTCTGCAAGCAGCCACAGACTGGTGCCCAGTCCAAAGCCTAAATTTTGCACAAAGAGCTACCAAGTGGGGTGTCCCCTGGAATCTTACAGGTCTGTGTTAGACTGGGGAATCAAGGAAGCATGAATGGCAAATGGACTCAGCTTCAGCATCATGGCCAGAAAGGCTTGTGATGCACTCACTGACAAAAAAGGTTTTCATATGAAATGGCACGAATCAGGGGGCTGCCTGGGGAAAAAAAAAATTCACGGTGGAAAAACTGACACACAACGAGCTCCAGCAGCCTCATTAGCTAATACAACTTGTAATCAGTTTGGTGTAGTGGTTTGGTGTCGTGGTTAAGTGTGCGGACTCTAATCTAGGAGAACCGGGTTTGATTCCCCACTCCTCCATGTGCACCTGCTGATGTGACCTTGGGTCAGTCACAAGCTCTGGCACAGCTGTTCCTGAAAGAGCAGTTTGTGTCAGAGTTCTCACAGCCCCACCCACTTTACAGGGTATCTGTTGTGGGGACGGGAAGGGAAAGGAGTTCGTAAGCCGCTCTGAGACTCCAAGTGAAGGGCGGGGTATAAATCCAGTCTCTTCTCTTCATCATACAACAAATTGGGGGGGGGGGGAGAGACTGAGCTGTCACAATGGTGCTTTGTGTTTGGAGAGAGGTACTTTTCAAATGCTTGGGAACCCCACTTGGTTATACTTCTATGTTCCGAAAACTCTTAGGTTAATATTTAGTGATATAATGTATAAGTTTTTTAAAATTTAAATAAAAGGGCAGAGACCTACATAGCATTTCATAAAAAGGTTCATCCACTGTACGATGCATGTGGACAACAAGACCAGACAAGTTAATGCCAGGCTCCAAACAGTTATTTCAAACATGTCCCGAGGTCTGGGTGTGTTTGCTGGGTTTTTTTTTTTTAAAAAAAACCCTGCTGCCTTTGATCAGCAGACCCCCCCCACCTGTCATCTCACAATCTGATGTTGAAAGCCCCCCCCCCTTTTCAAAAGCAATTTGCCACATGGAATATGGGTTTGTGGTTTGAGAAACCCGAACAAAAAGGCCCCCTTGGCCACAGAGCGTTAGTTATGTGGTTCTTTGGCTCTCTCGGTTTCTATTTCTTATTGTGAAGGCTGATAAAATTTCATCCAGCACTCTCTGGTGGGGAGTACTCGCAATTGCCACTATCTTGGAACCAAACTATAAACTTCCTTCAGGTGGATCTTTTCTAGAAGTCTCAAGACAGTCAAGATTCGTAGTCACTATTTAAATACAAAAAGGTTTTATTCATGTCAAAGAACATGGAGAAACCCTTAAGAGTACAAAGACAAGTGCAGATCAGCTCAAACTAGGCGCTGCTGGTCGACAGAGTGAAAGACCTTGCAGTCTTCAGTTAGAATTGCGAGGTCAAGGTTTTTAAAGCAAGGACCCTTGGGACAGAGCATCTATACTGCAGAGTCATACAGAACTGACAACGTGAGAGGCCACTTCCCTGTAAATAATACAATGTCCTAGAATTAGATTAAAAAACTAAGGGACATTTGGCAGGCCTGGACAGCGTGAAGCAAGCAGACTTCTTGGATCCTCGCAGCCAGGTTTCAAAGAACTACGGGAGATACATGCCCAATGGCTTGTGTGCACCCTGTAGCTCTTTAAATGACACATACATAGTTCTCAGCAAACTGCCTTTAGCACGTCACTGATGTACCCAGGTACCCAGAAAGCACAGGGTGTGAGAAAAACCAAGCTGGGGAACCAGTGACTATACAGAACAAGCTGTTTAATTATTTGCATTTAGGCCTTTAAATGTAAACGTTTGACATACGCCTTTCAAAACATCAGAACTGCAAAAAGACTGCAAAAAGTTTAAGACTTGCCTCCCAAGCTCTCCTCTCTGTGCCCAAGCCAAAATGTATCTTTTCCCCCAGGTTTTTAACTAAGGTTTAAAAAAAACCCAAAACCTTGGTTGTTTTATAGTCGGCTTCTAGCTTGATGACTGTTCTATGAACATTTGTAGGCTAGTTTAATGCTGTTTTTATTGGCTTATTTTAATAGTGATAATTAATGCTGTTGTATGTTTAATGATTTCACAGCAATGTTTTTATCTGTAAGCTGCATTAAGCAGTTCCAGAAGTTGTAATTAAATATTAGGTGCCCAAATGGGCCAATGCCTAGGATTGCTCTATCCTGCTAATTCTAACACCTAAAGATTTCAGGATGCAAATCAGTAACCACTGAAACCTGGTCCGTTAATCACCTATTTTAAGATTCTGCTAATGCTAGAACCAGCTCAATTCAAGGAGAAAGGAAGTTAACCAAAACCGGAAGGTCTGCAGTAATATTTTCCATGTTGAAAGAGGTACCAAAGCACAATCTTAGAATAATATAATTAATTTCTCTAACAACCTGTTACCTTGATATCAGACGTCCTTAACACTCCAAAATTTGTTTGCCCGCTGCAAAGTAATGTAACCAAGGAAAATTTCATTCCAAAGGCCAAAACTTTTGCATCGTAACTCCTCAGCTGGGTTTCACATCTGATAAGTAAATTTCCACCACAGCTATTGATCCTCCATTAAATATCCCACCCATCTACTGTCCAACGAAAAAATGCAAGGAAACTTTTAGAGAGCATGGGACAAACACATACAAAATGTTCTTGCCTTAAATGGGATCTTTATTTCTCAGAGTTACCTTCCCTGCAAATATTAATTTCAAGTACGTTTTTCTTGAGGCCTCGTTATCATCTTTTTAAAAGTGTGGTGGCAAAACACGAACCTCACCACCAAAGCTGCGCTTCAGCTTGATTACATAACAGAACTCGGATACCAGACAAGACGCGGCAAGACTATTTTTAAGGACGCTCAGGACTGCAGAAGCCTGTGAGAGCCATTGCCTGCACTGGGCAGATGTTAAGACCCGGCAACTCCAGCCAGTGCAAAAGGTGGCGGTGCACCTGCTGAGAGTACCATCGGTGTGGGCGCGCATTCAGCTGGTGCTATGCCAAATGCACTGGCTACCAATTGAGTACCGAATCCGTTTCAAGGTGTTGCTATTAGAAGAAGAGATTGGATTTATACCCCACCCTTCACTACCTGAAGGAGTCTCAGAGCGGCTTAACAGTCCCTTTCCCTCCTCACAACAGGCACTCTGTGAGGTAGGTGGGGGGCTGAGCGAGCTCTCAAGAACTACCCTTGAGAGAACAGCTGTGAAAGAACTTATGACTGACCCAAGGTCACACCAGCAGGTGCAAGTGGAGGCGTGGGGAATCAAACCCGGTTCTCCCAGATTAGAGTCTGCGCTCTTAACCACTACACCAAACTGGCCTTTAAAGCCGTATGCAGCCTGGGACCGACTAAGGGACCATCTCTCCCCTTGCGCTCTTTGGACCAACATTTGCTGGTTGTCCCCTGGCCTAAGGGATGTTCGCGTAGCCTTGGCCAGGGCTTTTCCTGCCCTGGCTCCGGCCTGGAGGAATACGCTCCCGCTTGAGATCAGGGCCCTGTGGGACTTACTGCAGTTTCACATGTAAAGCAGAGCTGTTCAGCCAGGCCTTTGGCTGAGGTGGCAAACACTCAGTTATTTTGGCCTCCCCTGCTGAAAATCACCCTTTGAAACCTGCTAACGTTACTGACTCATTACGGCACGGGGCTGGCGGGCCCTCTCTGTGCTTTTCTTTTCATGCTGCAGGACTTGGAAAACGTTGCCAATTAGATTCATTCTCTTTTCACTTTTAACTGTTATTGATTCTATGACTATTTTAAACTGCCTGGATATTTTCTACTGATGCTACCTGCCCTGAGCCCGCTTGTGGGAAGGGTGGGATAAAAATTGAACAAAACAAACAAATAAATAATAAGACTGCGATCCTCGATAACTGGCACCAGCTCACACAGTTCAAAGCCCCTCCGTGCAATGAGGCCAGAGTGACCTTCAGGTCTGCGAGTACCTGCCATTGCCCAGAGGATATAAGATGCCATCCAGTGCTGACCTGGACACAGGTGCAGGTCTCAAGTGGCTATTAATGCCACGGCAGAGGCACACTTTCAGTCTGTCATGCACACAGGAATCGCTAATGGGAAGCAGCAGCTGGGGAGGGGAGCGCTCCTTGCAGTGGTCACAGGACCGTGAGACAGTGCATATGTTGTGGGCATGCATAGTCCTTACAGTGTTTGGTACAGCGACAGAGTCGACAGATTAATCAGCTGCTACTATCCTGTCACCTCGAGACTGGACTACTGTAAAATGTTCTCTACATGGGGCTGCCCTTGTCTCAAATCCGGAAGCTGCAGTTGGTGCGGCCAGGCTTTTGATGGGGCTCTCTGGGCGGGAGCCCATACAGCCTGTGCGGAAGGCATTGCACTGGCTGCCGATAGATGCTGGATTCATTTCAAGGTGCTGGTTCTCACCTTTAAAACCCTACATGGTCAGGGACCTACATACCTAAGGGACCGCCTTTCCCCACATGTTCCCCAGAGAGCACTGTGGTCAGGGGCCCAGAATCGGCTGGCCCTTCCAGGTCATAAGGAGGCTAGGCTGTCGACAACCAGGGCCTTTTCGGTGGCGGCCCCATCCTGGTGGAATGAGCTCCAGGATGAGATCAGGGCCCTGCGGGACCTTTTACAGTCCCGCAGGGCCTGTAAAACAGAGCTCTTCCACCAGGCTTTTGGGAGCCGCCGCCACCAGTGAAGAACATCAGTTGGCCCTGGACTCTGGAAATTGCCATCAACAGCCTAAAGAACAGCAAGCCCTGCCAAGGACATTCCAAATGAACATTGAGAGCTGACTGTGAGATGAGAACTTCGTACACTGGCTATTGGCTGCTACCGTCATACAAAGACCAACAACTACTAGCACTTTAGTATGATTTTATAATTTGTTTTAATTGCAAGTTATGTTTTTAATGTAATTACCTGTTTTTATGTAAGCCGCCCTGAGCCGGCTTCAGCCGGGAGGGCTGGGTAAAAATCTGAATGAATGAATGAATATCTCCAGGTGTAAAAGGCTATAACTCTGAGTTGCTGGGGGTCAGGATACAGTATAAGGCCATCACCTTCAAGCCCTGTTTGTGTCTGGGCTAAGCTGCTGTTGGAAACAGAATACTGGACTAGGTGGAGCCTCATCCAACCCAGCAAGCCAATTTGTACGCTCTTAACCAAAAGTAGTGGAGCTGCGGTGGCTCAAGTGGTTAAGACGCTGAACTGCAGGCTGTGGAAGGTCAGTAGTTCAGCATTCAAGAACCAAGTTGCCGCATGACGGAGTGAGCTCCCGTCTCCGGTCCCAGCTCCTGCCAACCACTTCGGTGGGAAGGTAACAGCGTTCCGTGCGCCTCGGTGTTTAGTCACGCCGGCCACATGACCACGGAAACATCTTCGGACAGCGCTGGCTCTTCGGCTTTGAAACGGAGATGAGCACCGCAACCCTAGAGTCGGACTCGACTGGCTTTCGAGCAAGGGAACCTTTACCTTTAACCAAAAGTAACAAATGCACTGTACTTCAAAGTGGCTCGTTACAACAGAGGCCTCAAGAATTAGTGCACAGGAGGGCTAGTGTATAAGGCACGGGTGGGGCTTATAGCATCAGGTTACGATCTGGGAGACCCAAGTTCGAAACTCCACTCTGCCATGGAAGCTCACTGGGTGACCTCAGCCAGCCAAACACTAACAGCCTCATCTGCCTCACAAAGCTGTTGTAAGGACAAAAAGAAGGAGAGGAGATTGATGTGAGCCCCGTTGAAGAGAAAGGCAGGGAATAAATGAAGTAAACAAATAAACAGAAGTAAAAAACATTACATTCTGATACAAGCAGGTAAAAGATATGTGTGAGTTCTCTGAGCAAATGGCCTAGCTACTATAGTGCTGCCTCCAACCTACTGCTTAGGAGGAGAACCCCTGTCTTGAAGTGGAGACAGCACACAAACAAAATTAGGTCACAGAAAAGCATCTTTTAGAGACCAGGCCAAAGCAGACCCCCTCTTCAGCAACAAGATGGTGAACAGATAGTCATCTATAAGCTTCACCATCTTATTTAGGGGAGAAAAAGATAATTAAATCGAATATCCTACTGTAAACAAAAAAAAGATATTGCACACTCACAGTTCCACAAGATTAGGAAGCTTCTGGGCAAGGTTTTCTGGCTGAAAAAGAAAAATTGTGAAATTTAGTTTAGTTTCCAAGAGACAAAGTTACCGGTAACTAATCACAAACAAGATTGCTGGATTCACAATGACACCCTTGGGTCCCAGATAAAAAATTGTTTTTAAATGTCCAGTAATCCCTCTGGCATTCGTAACATTGCCTGGACAACAAATCACAGTAGACAAAAGGGGAAAGGCGCAACACTGACAGTTTGCTATGACAGCCTAAAGATATTAAACGCACAGAAGAGCCAGCTTCCGAACTGGAGCAAAGGGTTCTGGCATAACTCTGGATGCAGTCCACACTAATAAATTACGGTGTCAAAACATGAACTTGTATGATACCACAAAAAATAAAATCGTGCAGGATAATTAACTTCTCCAAAGCCAGCGCAGGTTGCTAATTCTGTGACGGACACAATGCACACCATGCAATATGCTTCAGCACGTAATGGATTAGGATCACCTGTACAGAAATTCAGTTTAACTTACAAGAACATATGGCAGATAAATGCCCTCGATCAATACAATTAAATAATCACACTGGCTACTTTTAACGACCAGCTTGCTAACGCTTTTCAATTACTATAATGCATTCTCCGCACCCAGCCAGCTGCCTTCTAAACACGGAGGTCTTCCAAAGCAAGAGTGAAAAAAACCAACACAAGAGATGATGTTACAGCAACTATGTCACATGATTTCCGTGTGAAAGCTCAGGGCGGGTGGTTTTCTTTTCCAAAACTCTGTGTGGGTCCTATTTCACAAAATGATTGATTGCTGCAGTCTTACTGGCGGCCCTCCTCTGGTGCGGATCTTAATTCCAGGACAGGCCTGATTTGAAATTCTCCAGGCTCAAGTTGGCTGGGCCAGGCCACCAGCACCCCCATTTGTATCCCTGCAGCAAACACATCTCACATCCCAAGTCATAAATGGCGCACAGCTTCTTCCTAAACATTTATCTTTGAAAAAAGGTTGTGAACGAGCAAGCTCTACGTTACGTGGCACTTAGCTTAGCCATCTGAATAGGGTCCAAGGTGGGACAGATATAATAGCAGACATTTCAATAATCCTTTTTTTTTTTCCCTTGCAAAAGATAACATTTATTCTGCTTCATTTTTTTAGGTGTGTTGCACCAAAAACAACAGACGCACAGCTGCTTTGCCTGTCACACAGGGCAGGATATGTTGAAAAGTTTGAACAGCACATTAGAAAAAACAGCAGAACTGACAAACAGCACATGAAGCCAGCTGCTGAAACCAAGAGTCTTGAAGCCATTCAGGTTTCCTGACCAGCCACCGCGGGAATCAGCCTACTTTCTGGCCACGGAACAAAGTGCCAGCATAACATCGCCCAGCACGAAAGTTGGATTTCTTCATTCCTCTGAGCTAGTCAATATTGTCCAATAGCCTATCTGTAGTTCCCAGAGAAGAACGTGCAGTAATGGAAACGGTTAACGCTCAAGGAGAAGGATCTTCACCTCGAATAGCTTTGTATTTGGACATGTCCCCCGGGAACACTTTTGTCAGCTCTTGAATCAACAAGCTTTTGAATTTCTTCATGGTATCAATTTTGCCTTTCACCTGCTCATTTTTAGCCAAAGCCCAATAATAATCCTTCTGAGGATGGTCTTTTCTTTTTCAGTCACTGTATTTTCCCTGGCGTTTTTGAAAGCAAAGCAGTAAGGAGAGCAACCACAACACTGTTTGCAGGCAGAAGCACCATCCTGGTTCTGAAACAAGCAGGAGAATTAGGCAAGTCTGCCGTACTGCAGAAATCTGGGGTTTTGTTTCCACCTACTGGGGAGCCTGCATTATGCATTTATGTAGCTCTCCAGAGTAGTATCAGGGATGAGAATATAAACAGAAGCAGCTGCCCCAAATTTACCAGCATGGCTAAGACAGAATAACAAACTACAGTTGAACTCCATGCAAATGAGTCTCTAGGCTCAGCTAACAAGTGCGTTTGTTTGTTTGGAAGATTTAGATATATATACACCCTTCTATTTAAAAGCTAGGAGCTGCGGTGGCTCAAGTGGTTAAGACGCTGAACTGCAGGCTGTGGAAGGTCGGTACTTCAGCAGTTCGAGACCCGAGTGTGCCCCATGACGGAGTGAGCTCCCGTCTCTAGTTCCAGTGCCTGCCAACCTAGCAGTTCGAAAGCAAGAAATTGCAAGTAGATAAATAGGTACCACTTCGGTGGGAAGGGAACAGCGTTCCGTGCGCCTTGGTGTCTAGTCATGCCGGCCACATGACCACGGAAACGTCTTCGGACAGCGCTGGCTCTTCGGCTTGGAAACGGAGATGAGCACCGCAACCCTAGAGTCAAGGGAACCTTTACCTTTTATTTAAAAGCACTCTAGGAAAACACAACACTACTGAAAACAAAAAATGAAAATTAATTGAGCCATAAAATACAGAGCTACTGATAATAAACAGCAGCGACTGGCATGCTGTGCTACAGCTCAGACAAAGCCTAACTTAGAATATTAAAAGCATCATCGGTACAGCCCTCTTTCTTCACCCAGCACATCACATCACATCACTAATGAACAGAAAGCCCAAGAAAGTACCCCCCCACAAAAAGATCTTACACTAAAACAGCTCCTCAACTGAAACACCTTATTAAGCCCATCAGTCAAGGGGGCACCAGAGTCGGGGGGGGGGGGGGTCCCCCATGGCTTCAGGGCCACCATGGAGAAGTCCTGCCCTCCCATGTGCTCAGTAATCTCATCTTGTGGAAAGCTGGCACACGGAGAAGGCCAGCTCAAGCTCTTTAGCTATGGGCAATCGCTAAGACACCTTGGGCCAAGGCCGTTAAGTGTTTTCAAAGTTAGTTCCAGCACTTCGAACTATGCCAAGAAACAGACTGGAAGCAGAATGCAGTCGTCGTGACGGGGTGGGGGAGGGAAATAGGATCCTCATGGCAAGCCCCAGCTACCAATCAGGCTGGCTATTTCCAGTTAATGATCATAACTAGTAAACCAGCCCAAGCTGGCAAAAGGCATCCCTTGACAGCTGCTACCTATTTTTCCAAACAGCGGGTTAAGATTTGGGAGCTCCCAGAAGGTGCACAGCAACTCTTTTAAGGAGAGCACCACCTCTATCCAGAACGAGCAGTAACTTTACCCCCGGCTGGGCTTTTCCTGAGAGCAGTTGTACTCCCGCAAGATCTGGATTAAGCCTCAGTTGGCTTGCCTATAACCAGCTCTGGATTAAGCCTCAGTTGGCTTGCCTATAACCAGCTCTCCATCTCCTCTAAACACTGGGGTTGGAACCAGACTGGGTTTTCAGCTAACAGAAGGCACTTTCCAGCTTCTCCCCCTCCCTCCCGCTGCAGTCCACTGATCTCCCTGGAATGCTGCTCCTGGAAAGCTGGGCTCTCAGGAATGGCAAGGGAGGCGAACTGGGGATCTGAAGCACAAACAGGGAATTTGCAGAAATCACATCCCCCACTTCCGTAGACATAAAATTTAGATCTAATCCACAGCATTGTTTCCACTGCCTCCTTGCATTCATGGGGAAAAGAGGAAAAAGAAGAAAAAAGAAGAGGAGGAGGAGGAGGAAGAAAAAGAAGAGGAGGAGGAAGAGGAGAAGAAGCAGCAGAAGAAGAAGAGATTGGATTTATACCCCGCCCTTCACTCAGAGTCTCAGAGCGGCTTGCAAACTCCTTTCCCTCCCCCTACCCACAACAGACACCCTGTGAGGTGGGTGGGGCTGAGAGAACTCTGACACAAACTGCTCTTTTTCAAGGACAGCTGTGCCAGAGCTTGTGACTGACCCAAGGTCACATCAGCAGGTGCAAGTGGAGGAGTGGGGAATCAAACCCGGTTCTCCCAGATTAGAGTCTGCACACTTAACCACTACACCAAACTGGCTCTCAAACTGGGATGTCCCTCATAGCAACTCTAATGCTGAAACTGCACACGAGCTAAGGGGTAATTGCGATACCTGCTGCTGGAGCGCCCTGAAACTCTTGATGGTTGCACCATTGTTTTGCTACTGTAGTCCCATTTGTGTGCTGCTCAGCCTTTTGTGAGTGTTTGGCCATCTCCCATCTCAGCCAAGCTGATTCCCCCCATGATCACCTTACTGCTGCATTGGAGTGGAGGGGTGGGGAATCAAACCCGGCTCTCCCAGATTAGAGTCCGCGCACTCAACCACTACGCCAAATGCAACAACAGCGTATAAATGGCACTGTATTCCAGATGAGATTTCAGTAATTTCACGCTAATTTTAAAGAACAAGGAGACAAGATGGAACCCTCCTAGTATGCCATAAGGCAAGGAGGCAAAAGCAGTAGAACGCCCGGCACCACCTGCTGAGATCGCTGCCACGTAGGGCTGCAGATACTGTAAAACAGGACAAGTCAACCCAGAAGGATATCATGACCGAAGGTACTGAAAGTCAATGAGAGAGGTCCAAAAGCAATTGAGCTGTGCTACTCCTTTCAGCTGCCCAGTGACCAAGACATCTTCTGTCTGTGCCACAGCCAGGACAGAACCTGAAATAAAAGTGATCTAGACCAGGGGTGTCAAACATAAGGCCCAAGGACCAGAACTGGCCTGCCCAGGACTGTTATGCGGCCTGCAAGCAACTGGTGCAAGGGAAGAAACAGGAGGCTGCTCAGGGGGCAGGCAGAACCACTCCAATCGTGGTTTCAGCACGGTGGGACAACCTCATCTGCAGCAGTCAAGCAGAACCCCTTCACTTCAGGGACTGGTAAGCTGGGAACCACTAGAACCACATCCTTGCCTCTCCACTTCGCCTGCAGCTCCAGGGATGCTGTCCTGGATGGCCTCAGGGATCAGTGTTTACACGTGGGGGGTGGGTGCAGACAATCCTCTGTTGGGGCATGAGAGCGTCTACCCGGAGCTGCACTGCTGGCTCTCAGTCCACCCATGTGGGTTTCCCTCTGCACCCCCCTCCCAAACCATGGAGCCTTGCAGTGAGGACACACCAACTCAGAGCTTACCAGATGCTGCTCTTTATAAAGTTTACAAG